TGCTGCACCTTCTATTCCAACAGCAGAGATTTATACAAGCTGCAGATACAGCCCTTTTCCATCAGGATTGCAAAATTAAGTCACTGGTGTGCACCTCAGTATCTCAGATGATTCCGTCAACTGTTGCAAGTCTCTCACTCCAGTCATCAAGAACTGAAATCTTCTAACACAAGGTTTGAAACAGAAATAATGTAAGAAACTGAATGTTATCACCATTGTATCAAATCCTTTCAATAGAAAACTTCCTCTTCGTAATCCATTAACCAGCTTATCACAGTCCCACCTAACTTCTTTAGTAATTTTCCTATTGTTGTTGCACAAAATTTGGCTTCAGTTCCAGAAAGTAAAAGAACACACTGGGACTATTTATATGGCACCCTAAAGTTCTGTGAAAGCTTCATGTATGACTTCATGGCTTTGAAAAATTATCCTTTAGAAGTCATGGCTTTGTTTTGGTCTTCATCTGTTATGCACCTTTTGCTCTTGTGGTGAGAGACTGAGAGGCCAAACACATTTGGGTCAATGTTATAACCTCCATTTTTTCCAGGAGGTGTAAAATTTTCATTTTCTCAAAGTATTAATTTTTGAATAGTATATCAGTGATTATTGTACAATGTGTGGATTTCTAATATTGACCAAATGCTCTCTTAGCAAATATTGATGAGATCGACAAGACTGAAGGTCTTAAGAAGGAGAAAACATAAGAATCATTAATTTACTTGCAACTTCTTCTTATAGACCAAAAATTTCAACTCTCCACCTTCAAGACTGTTTTGCTATATTCAATATGCTACTCAAAATCTTACTTTGTTTTTAATCTCAGCCCTCCATTTGGAAGTGCTCTTCATTAAAACACAGCAGGCCAATTTGGACTTCCAAATATATTTCAAGTTTTGACATTTCAATGTGAAAAGCACTTACCCTTGTCAAAGGATATCCTCTTATTATCAGAAATAAAATACAAGCCTCAGAAAATCATTACTTGGTACAACAGCACAATGTTACTTAAACCCTCAAAATCTAAACCATTCTTTTTTGAGCTTTGCTCTATTTATTTCACTACCATTAAAACATTAACTCCATGGTAACCAGAGTATGACAACATACATCTCTCATGCAGTTTATGTGACTACACCTACTTCTTACAATCCCTGAAAACCTGGTCATAATTCAGGTCCATTTTGACCACACTAGAGCTGTGTAGGCAGCATCCTTGGAGCAGGAGTCCAGCAGCCTCCCAGCAGCCCTGAGCTGGGCTCTAGACCTGGTAGAGCCCAATGTGGCTCCCAGGGCCAAACAAAGCCCTAGGTGCTGCACCAGGACATCAGGGCAGCTGTCAGGAATAGCCCCAGTACAGACAAAAAGCTCATTTAATTCTGTTCACCAAGGCTACCCCACAACCGTACCTGGAGAGGGGCTGGTCCCTGTCACCATGGTTTGTTTCCCAGCAGACAGAGGGAAATGCTCCGCTGTTCTTCAGAAAGGAAGGGTTTGGCCCAGCACACTGTGGTCACAGGAGAGGACCTGGCTCTTCAGCTAAGCCTTCCCTGCACTATTATTGCTAGTTTCACCTCTTCTCCAGCTGAGTGTCACAACAGGGGCTCGGATGGAAAGGATGAGAACCTAGTGTGCGATGCCTGGAGGCACAACCCAGAGCCCAACTGCCCCCCAGGTGAGCTGAACACGTAAGGGGGAAGGGGGCAAAAAAAACCCAATCAAAAAACCAAACAAAAACCCCACCACTTGCTTGAACTTCTTGCCCAGTGCAGTAGTTGGCTTTTAAAGTTAAGCAAACTGCCCCATATTTAAAGAAAAATAAATAAAAACCACCCCACGCATACAGAGCAGGGGATATGCACAAAGCAGGGAAGTGAAGAGAAAATCCCAGAGAGATTCTGAAAAAGCAATTCTGTGCAGACCCTAGTAATTCACAGGAGCTGAATTTCAGAGGACACCACGGGGAACTATCAAGCAGGTTTTTTAAATAAAAAAAGGTCCAGGTATGTGTGGTGCACACCCACTGGTCTGTACAACTGAGATTTCATGTTTGACTGAGGAAGTTTATGGAAATACTTCCTTTGGAGAGAGTGGATGCATAAAAAGAAGGAATAAGTAACTCTTGCTTTCAACCACCCATAATGCAAACAAATGCACACTTTGCAACAAAACCTGACAGCTTGTTTCATGAAAGCACGTTCAGCTCATTAGTAGCTGCCACACACTGAAACCCTGCAGTAAGCTCTCCTGGACACACCTTCATCCACACTGCAAGGGGAGACACACGAGCCCAGAGACAGAAAAAGGTAAAGAATGAAAGTTTAACTTTGATGCTGAAGGCCATGGAGAGAATCATTCCTAACGTCACCCACACACCAAATTGGCAGAGAAATAGAGATTTAATGGTACCTTGGATGAGCTAATACAAGCCCTTTCTACCTCCCAAGAACTCACTCTGTAAGATTAGAATTCCAAATTTTCCAGGGTTCTTAATGCCAAAAGGTTAATTTGCAATTAAAAAAATTAGTAGAATAGGGAAGAAGAGGAACACTTCATTTAAATTCTGGATGAAGAGCCAGACTGAAGGCATTTGTTTTGTGGAACTAAATAACAATCAGAGCTCCAGGGCAGCTGCATCAGCAGGCACAGTGAGGAAGAAGCATCCACTGACCATCTGCACACCTGCCAGACACGACATGGCCTTCAAACCTGGCAGAGCTGGCCTGCCCCTCTCTGGGGGAGAGCTGCTGCCTGGGCTCCTGCCCATGCCACCACACAGACCTGACATCAGGATCCTCTGAGGCTTCAGGCCCACAGAAGCAGTCTCTAGAACAAAGCCACAGGGCCAGTGTCTTTTCTTCTGAGTGACCAAGAGTTGTGTTCCCTGGCCCAGGTCACCTCTCAGTTTAGATCCTGAGTGGAGCAGCTTCAAGAAGAAGAGACAGTCAAACCCCGGAGAGGACAAGCCTGCAGGAGCCTGCTAGGAGGTGCATCTCCCTCTCCAGTTTAGGGCTTAGTTCTTGGTCCATTTCCAAAAGAGCTTCAGAGCTTAAAATCAGGAGGGCTCTGCTACGGATCACAGGGCAACACTGCAAAGCACCTGCACACTGCCAAGGGCAGGATCCAGAGACCCTCTGACCTGTGGTGTCCATTGCCAAGTCCTGCCCCACACAAAGCCAATCCTGACACCAGGAATTCTTCTGAGATTTAAGATGAGATGCTAAGAGAGCTGGGACTGTTTGGCCTTCAGAAGAGCAGGCTCAACGGGATCTTATCAATGTGCAGCACTACCTGATTGGAGGGAGCAAAGCAACAGTCTGTTCTGAGTGGCATCCAGTAACAGAACAAGAGAAAAAGGGCACATCAGCAGTCTTCATAGGTTTGTTACACATTGAACAGCAAATACAATGGTAGGGTATGTTTACCAATTTCACTGTAACAATTTGGGCAGAAAGACACCCACAGGAAAGAGGGGGAGGCTTTTGTTGGTGTCCAGCACAGGCTGGAAGCCAAACAAAAATGTAACTATATTCTGAAACAGCAACAAAGATCCTTTCTGCTTCCACATAAGCCACCTGCCCAGCCAGCTCACTGCTTTTTACAGACAAATATTTACTATATCCTCCCATTCAGTTCAAGTAATGGAAACAGGCAGCAAAACTTGATCAGATAAAAACAAAGACATTTAACATTTGATGCTCTCTGGTCCCCCAAGTTGATCTACTCTTTCCTATGTCCTCCTAGGTTTTCATTGACCATTTAGTATTTACCTCTGTGAAAGGCAACATCTTTAGTGCCCATGATGACTTTAACAAACCCTTAGTAAAGCAAATTAATGTAGAAAAATTTGTTTCTGTTGAACTTTTCAAGGACTAGATTGTTCTTTTAATAAAAAAGAACAAAGCCAAGCACTGTAGCATTCTTAGTATCTGCAGAACAAGAAGGAAGAGGCACGTACTATGGGTGTAAGGGGTGGGACATTAAGAAATGTTACTCCTAGTTCAGCTGTTGATCTGTGCCTGGCCTTCAGCTACTTCCCCTCATTATCTCCCACTTCCTAGCAATGCAGAACTGCAAGGGGTGCCTTCACCTCTCATTTCTATTATCAACAAGATTATTATCAAGAGTAGCTCTCTTGCTTTCAGACATATTTAAAAAAACAGTTATTCTGTATTTGTTTTCAATGGCTTTTTCACCTTTTCTCCAGAAACTGGAGCCACAGCAATCAGTACTGTAATAGGATATTTGTCTAAGTATTCATTGTTGTAATCTTTGACAATTGATCATAGAGAGCAAATTATGATCCATTAATATCTTAAATACAAACTACCTTCAAAAACTAGACAGACCTTACCAGAAATAACAGCTGAATCTCCTTCCAATAAAATTATTACTGAACTATCAAAAGCATAAAATCTTACATTATTTATAAAGCAGAGCTTGATCCTTCATTTTCTGAGTCCAAATAAAGCAACTTCAGGAAGCAAAACTAAATGCATGAAGAAGGAAAAGTGAATGGCTGTCAGGACTCCAAGGCTCAGTGGCACTGCACCACTGACTGCAAGTCACTGGTCATTTAAACTCTAGTTCTTATAGCAGTGCTCAGCTTAGAGAGCTATTAAAACACTTAGGCTCTACCAATTTTTTGATCTCTACATAAAACCTCAAAGAGAAGGGAAGATGATGCAGGCAAAAAGAAACACAAAATGTCCTCCTGGTTCCACAAACATTCCACTCACTGTTTCTGTACCCAAAGGAACATTCACACTATCTCCCCTCTATCAAGTCATTACAAAACTATTAAGTGAATTCAAAATGTATTTCAGCCCCATCCCTCAAGCAACTGGGGAGCCAGAAACCAGGAGGAGAATGAATCAGTAGCCACAGCTTAGGAACCACCCCATGAAGCAGTATACAAATATTGCTCAAGGTTACTGGCAAAGTTTTTCCATGTATGGTCTGATCTGGTACAAAGCAGGGAGAAGAGACTCTTCCTCACTGACCTGCTTGTTGATCCAGATGACAGAGAGAATGCAGGAGAGCCTGACCTTGGGCCTTCCTCCAAGGAGTGAGATTCACTGCTTTTGCCATCAGGGGTTTCTGCTCCGAGTGTCTGGGCATTTCCAAGGACAACAGCAGGGTGATGCTCTTCTGAATGTTCTACCACAAAGGAAGGCAGAGATTAGCAAGAATGACAGAGCTAAAGACTATTGTTTAAAGTTTTGCAGCTTGGGAATAGATTTTTAAAAAAACCCAACAACTAAGCTTTAAAATATTTAAATACCAAGGCCTCGTTCCCACTTATTTGCTTCCCCAAACTCTCCCTTTCAAACATTTAATTTCTTCTCCTGCATAGTAAAAAAAGCCACCCTCTTCTCTAAGAACTAGACTGAAACAGGAACACTCCATTGTTACGAGGTTCAAACAGAAAAAAGGAGAAAAATAAAGGGTAAGAGTATGTCACATTTTCTAATATGAAACTTTGTTTCAGAAAGTAGCAAACAATGAGGCTGCACTGTTCTCTGCTTCCTCCTACCAATTCACTTCATCCACTGCATGGGACAGCTGGACAGCTTGAAAGTTTTACAGATCAAGTTAATAGGCTCCTTTTCAGTAAGAGAAGCATTATGATTTACTTCCTCATGCACCTAAGAAACACAATGTCAATTGAGATGAATGCCAGTTCCTTTTTTTTTTTAATAGGAAAAATCATTTCTACACAACACATCAGACACAAGTTGTAAAACTATTCCATTATTTTTACATCAACATGTTTTTATCTGTAAAAAGATCAACCATTCTCTGAAAAGATATCTTCTACCTCTAAAGAGACAGCAAATATAGATTAGGAAGTATGGTATGTAAAGATAAACTACTTTTATGCCCTACCCACGAATATTTTCAATTGAGTTATTTAACTAGAAAGTTGCACAAGAAATGAGAACCACAGTGAGACTCATCAATAATCCTTACTTTGGCTGCTGCCCACCTTCACCAACCAAATCACCTTGATTGTTCTATCCCTCCAGAAATTATTTTGACTGACACAGCTGAGCAGAACTGTAATTAGAGTGTGGAAGAGCTATACAATCTTTGAATTTGGCTACAGTTTGCCCTTTCCCTTCTGCTAAGACATGTAATTAAATATCAGGAGCATGGTTTTGTCTGCTGAAAAGAAGAGCACAGTGAGTCAGTTGTCCAATTAATGACACAGAACTCCAAAAGTAACAGGTTAAAAACAGCAAAGGTCCTGTGGAGTAACACAACACAGAGGAGGTAGATCACATCTATCAAATTCTTACAGTGCTGCCCCTTAGGCAAAGCAAAACCCTACGTTTAGAAGTTATGAAGACTGTACAATTCAATCATTTCCATGAGAATCCAAATAAAGTGGGCAAGGAAGGCACATAATACAAAGCCTTTGCTCTTCCCAGCAGCTGTGCTTTCAAATGACAAGTCATCAGACTCTGCTGGTTTCCTGCTTTTCACCTATTATCATTTCCATTTTAATGAAAAGGTAACTGCTGTTAATAAGGAAACTGAGGAAACAGGCTTTAGGCATTTTTTCCTTCACCCATAAAGCTTTTTTGTTTTATTTCTTAAACCATTCAGAAACAATCAACTAGATGCAGATGTTTGGTACAAAATCAGAAACTGCAAAGCATCATTCATATTTTGCAGGTTTGTCAGCACCAGCTGAGGTGCAGCATGTACTTGATACAGGCTGATACATCTGCTATCACTTCTTTCCTGCCTGAGCACTCTTTTGGAAAAACTACTTGTCTTTCTTCCAGCACCTCAAAGTTTGCAGTTCTGTGCACAAAGCAAAAACCTACACAGAAGATGAAAACCCAGTAAATCACAGTAGCCCAGCTCTCCACAGAGCACAGCTAGAAATTAATATTTCCAAATCTGTGGTCCCATTAGTGATGCAGAAGGGCTGAAACCCAGCAAGCAACACCCACCACCAGCTTAATTTCAAAGATGCAGTTTGTCTCATGCCCACCCTCTGCAGCTTCAGTAGATTTGGATTGGAACCCAAGATCCCATTGCAGGTAATTAGCCAGCTAATTAAAACATGCACCTAGATAAGAAACATTAATACATAATTTCACTAAGATGAAACAAATCATTATTTATTATGGCTTGTGCTTATGTATTACACCAAAATCAATGGCAGTCAAACTTTTTAGAGTGTTTGATTTTTGTGCTTTTTTTTCGCCCTTAAGGCAGAAGAAGCAGAAGTAGCAGAAGAATAATGGGAGGAAAGAACATTTATTTGGGAACCCCCCCCACTTACCAGTATGGATCTAAGAGCAGGACTATAACATTACTAACCTGTGGCTGCTGGCAATTCTTTGGCAGTGACTTCTTTGTTTTGAGCACTTTCTGTTTTCCTCTTACCACTTTTCTTCCATCGATTCTTTACTTGGTCCACCAAAAACTGAAATTCATTTCTGTGTTTGTTTCCTGAAATGTAACAGTGCATTACTGATCACTGGACTCTGAAGGTAGCCAGAAAAAGTGCAAAGGATGTGCACAGAAATAAACACAAAAACAATTTAAAACATTTTTGTTACAGCAAAAGAAAAACCAAATCATCACTGCAATATGTTCCCTGTCCTATTAATGATCCAAATCTGTGTCTATGCTTTAAAGAGCTGCCCAGTAGTCAAGAACACCTGCACAGATTCAAACTTCATTTTTGCACAGAACTGTGTTCGTTTCTGCTTTTCTGTCTTTCTTTCCTTCCCTGACTCGGTAAGTATTACAATTACCATTGTGCCAACATTAATGTTGTGGTCACAGCACCAAGCCTGTGAGAGCTGAAGGAGGGTCTGGACAATGCTCTTACTCCACACTTTAGTTCTAGGCAGCCCTGCAGGCTCTGCTGGACAGGAGGAGTCAACTCCCACTACTACTCTGCAAATTGCTTTGAAGTCACTTTGGGTTTTTCCCCATTTCTGCAGCAGAGCAATGTCAAAAGCCTTTGTGTCATGCTTATTATACTGTTTTGATTCACATCCCCTAATCCCAGTTAATTGCTCTTTGGCACACTCTGCACTTTCAGTCATTTATGTTTTAAGCAACCCTCTGGTATTCAGTCAATGCAAAGCTGGTTTTTAATCGAGATACTTGAAATTCTTTACTCAGAGGCTGAGAAAATACCCAGTCTCCTCAGCCAGACAATGTGGATCACCCAGCCCTCACTGGGCACAGAGGGAACACATTTTCCCTATGGAGCACACCAGCTTCTACTGAGCCAGTGTATCTTTGTGTAGCCACCCCAGCAGGAAAGCTGGCCTGTCCATATGGGTGGCTTTGTCCTGAGCTGGTACAGTAAGCAGAACTTACTTTATTTGGAAGGACTTTCAACAAAAAGTCACTCTGAGAAATGGATTTGTCCTTTTGCAACAAATAAAGCATTTCAGCTAACGTGGACATGGACCCAGGTGCATGGGGTGGTGGGGTTGGGGTGGTCCTGCTCCCCCAGGGGGGACAGCCCTGGCCGGGCGCTGCGCGGGTTCCACAGGATACAAACAAAATATGGAAAAAGCAGTCACAACTGCCCATCTGTTCTCCAAAAACAGCATAAGAACTGCATGGAGAGGGTCATGCAGAGCAAGACAATGACACATGACAGCCAGGCAGCCCGATGGACACAGCTGGCCCACAGGGTCTGCACACAGGGTGCTGCGGAGACCTTTCAGAGAAGTTCTGCTTCTTATTTCCACCTGAGGGCTCCCAGTGAAACCATGGAACTACACATCACTCAGCCAGTGCAGGAGACTAAAAACTCTCCCTTCCTGTTCTTTATGTCCAACAAACAGAGGAGGACCATGAAGAAGGTAAGTAGGAAGTACATAACTGGAGATGTGCCAAAGAGACAATCGGCCCCATCTTAGTCTTGCCCAGCCCTGGCAGTGAGTTTTGTCAAACATCACCACTGAACAGAGACAGAGTTTCAAAAAGGAAGTTTCAGCCCAAACAGCTAACTTCCAGCTTTGATTTATTAAATGGAGGGTGGGGGAAGCACACACACTTCTGTGGATATTTTAATACCAAGGAAAAGAAAGTACAGCTCGGAGAAAAATTCAGTGGAACTTGCATATTACTTACGATAATCAGTGTGGATCTCGTCTATTTCTTCCTCTGTCTGGTCCTTTGTGAAGGTCAAGCTCTACAGAAGTCACCCAAATGTTTATTGACAGAAACAAACCATTACAGAGCTGCATACTTTAGAACTAGATACTTAAAACTGGAAGAAGGTTCAGCTGTCTGTTTTTCCCCACCAGCTCTCACCACCTCATCCCCAAAGTCTACTGAATGTAGGTTCACATGCTGTCTTGCTTTGCTTTCCCAAAGTCAACAGGACTGCACCACACCACCCCATGTAACACCCAGCATGTATGGACCATAAAGTATTTCCTAATCCTGTGCAACAAACACAATCCTAAAGTCACAAAAGTATCATATGTCATGGGAAAAGAACAGGCACTATTGCTGATACGGAAGCAAGGAATTTGCTAGCTAAATCCGAGAGAATTCTAGGAAGCAAAATATTCCCCACACTGCCATGCAGGGTCAACATCCTCCAACATGACCAACAGGAACATTTCTCAAGAATTTTTACTGCAATCAAAAAATGTTCCTAATTAAATAATCTGGGCATAGACACATCAGCAGTACACAAAGAACTGCCCATGACATAAGAGTGGTATGAGAACATCCTGTTGATTATGAGATGGTAAATGCAAATTCCAACCTGCAATCCAGGAATCTGAGAATTCCATAGTAAAGTGGCAGGCAAACATGGTCAGTGCCCACTCTGCAATTTTTCATAACCATTGCCCCATATGGGAACAAAGATAATTATCTTACCTTTTCACTGCTTTTATTACATTCAAGCTGAACCCGAATCTTCTCATTCCTTTCCAGCTCTTTAACAACCTCTGCAACTGTTGGGAAATACAAGAAATGGATCACTAGCACAGGAGCTGTTAAATAAAAAGAAGTAGCAGCCCTGAACGAAACTACCATGAATTTAAGTCACAGAGACAAACCAGCATGAGCTCTCCAACAGACTCCAGTGAGAGGCAAACCCCAAACGGCAAGGGCAGAGCCCAAGACATCAGGAGGGGAGGCAGGGAGGTGGGCAGGGGGTGGGCAGGAGGACCCCTTGCTCCTTGCTGGCAGCTGGCTCCCAGCCACCTCCTGGGCTGATGCTCTCATTTCCTTTGCATTGAATTCATGGGAAAACACAGACTTCTGAATCTCGCTCTAGCACACTACAGTGTTTCTGTTGTGTACAGGCATGGCTTTTATAGTTTCCATTTTATAATGTAACTTTAAACAGAAGATAAAATAATAGCATCTACTGTTTATCTTATGTTTATACCTCCCAGCGCTGCCCTCCAAGGAAACACAAAACTGTCTGCAGGCTTTTGTCCAAACCCATAGTTCAAAGATGAATTACAACGTACTGTAACTATCAAGTCTGACACCTCAAGAGCACATAAACAGACATAACTGTGTTAATATTTCAACTATGACTACAGCTATGCAGGAGCCTGCATGGGATATTTTGACATTTCCTTTTACACATCTGTTTCTACATTTAATCATTTCCACAGAGCTACCAGGTAGCTATGGGTATTTATTAAAACAAACACTTTCAATAGACAGTAACAGAGAACAAGAAGCTTATTAATCTGTGAAGGAATAAAACCTGTTCAAAACTGGTTTAAACAAAATCCATTAACTTGGCACCTCTGCTTCCTCAGGGGCACAGCTATTAGTGTTCCACAGTGACCTGCTGCCACTGAAAGGGCAAGTCTGCATCTTAACTGCTAGCTTAATAATTAACCCGTTATAAACAGGTACTGAGCCAGATCTCACTAAGCATCTTGCACTATTGAGGGCAGAGCAGCTGAAGTACACCCTGGCACACTGTGAAACTTCTCATTCAGCAGCCTGGAGGAAGGGGGCAGGCAGGGAGTTGGTGCTGCTTCATCCCCAGCATCAAGTGAAGAATCCCCCCTGGAGCTGAGGACCCCCCCACATTTCAAAGGATAGCAGAGACCCGCACAGCTTCAGCACACCTGGAGTGGACAAGAAGTTTCTGAGCCCTCTAATACACACAAAAACATTCAGAGTTGTTAACAACTTCTGGAAGACATGGTGAACTTTGGACTCTCTGTCATTGTGAAAATTAAAGGGATGAAAACTAAGGGTGAGGAACAACATTTCTCATCTCTCTGCCTTCAAGGGACCTGAGTCCAGGTCTTGCCAGCAGCAGGACTGACCCACATCACAGTCCTAGCAGACCACAAGCTCTGTCCTGAAACCAGAGCAGAACAGGCAATACCAGCAATATGAGAATTCCAGGACACCACGGACTGTGCAGCTCCCCAGAGAGCAGTATCAGAACATCATCCTTTTAAAGAAATTTCTGCCAGGACTGTTTGCCATAAGCTTCTAATCAAATAAAAATAATACACACTATAAATCTGCTGTCTGTCTCTCACCCACACACACCAGTGTATCTGTGCTTTTACTTGTATCATGTGCAGAACTGAATTGAGAGATGACAAATTACATCTTTTTTAAAGATCCATGTTTTCATCTTGTATACAATAGAAGATATAAGATGAGCTGAGACAGTTGTCCCTCTAGTTCATACACACTATTCAACATTTTTTAAATGGCCACCCAACCCACAAAAGCAGGCAGCAAAAAAAACCCTGCTGGGATCTCATCCTCCCTGCTCAAGCCCTGGCATTTTCCAAGCATTAAGCCTGAGCACATGTGAACAACAGGCTGCTGCTTAGAGCAAGCTTATCTTGCACTCACATTAGAGACTAAAACACATTCCTCTTATCCCATACAGCTCTTTCATGCTAAATATAGTCTGAGTTTAATTGTATAAAATTGCTGCCAAGCACCTAAATGGATATAAACTCCAACAACACATTAACAGTCTTATTAGTTCACTCTACCCTTACCTACCATCTCCAAAAAGAAATCTAATTTTGAAATGAAATCCAGTAATAATATAAAAGTCTCAGTGTACAGGAGAAAGAGAACAGTCAGAACAAGATAAACTAGTCATCTATTCACTTACCAAGACCCTCACGTATTTCCAGTTCTTTGACTATAAGCCTCAGAGTCTTAATTTGGAGATACTCATTAAAAGGAAAAAAAAAAAATCAATGAAAACACTGAACACTTTTCAGAACAGAGTAAGTGTCCATAATACAGCAACACGTTTCTGCTTTCATTACATTTCCTTTTTAATCATTTTATAAGAAACATTCTCCCCACTCCGGTTTTCCCAAATATTCAAGCCAGCCTTATTCCTACCCTGAGAACTAAAAGAAGCAGAAATGCATACAAACAGCTTGTGATGATAACAGCTTTCCTAGCATTTCTAACTCACCTGATTTGGGATTTAGAGCATCACACTGAGCATTATACATGTGCACAAACTCCTGATGTCTTTTAATGAGCTGCTGTCGGGTCCCCTGGGTAGACAGACCATGTTCCTTCAGTTTCTTCTTCAAATCACGATCAGAGAGCAAGTTGTAAACAACTTTAGACATAGGCTTCCTTTTGTGGGCAGAACTGCCAGAGGAAAAGGAAATAAACTTCTTTAAATAAATACATCTAGTAAGAATCAAAACATGGACTTAAGATTTGTAGAGGGCATGTTATCCACTCTGGCTAAGGAGTAGTTGGAAGAATCATTTCAGCCATGCCAGACACACAGACAAGTACTTGAGGTGTCAGAGGTGCAAGGGCCACAGCTCCAGGAAGCTGCAACACATTTCCATCTAGCACAAAAAGCATTAAAGCTGCAAGCCAAGATTAGGGAACTTTTCAGTTTCTGGTAAATGACTTTGAGAAAGACAGTCATGTACCTGACAGCAAATCTGTAGTTCCTTCCTAACAGAAGGGTAGTTTGGTTAGAGAGAGAGGGGCATTAAAGAGAACTAAGAGTGCTATCAGGTGAATAACATCTAAAACCAAAATGTACTCATTCACTCTGCTTTCTGTCATAGGAAATGAACGCTCCTGGTACAGCTACAGAAAACACCTTAATTACACCAAACTGCTGTAGAAAATTCAGGTCCTACTACAACTTTTGTCATCTAAAAGTAGCAGAACAGTTTCCTTCTGCACAAATGAGCTCATTCTTCCCT